GCAGCGCCAGCGCCCAGCGCAGCAGGCGGTCCGCTTCGGCCGAGCAGCCGGCCCGCTCCTCGGCCGGGGCCCGGGCTCGCAGGGCGCCCCGGCCGTACTGGACCAGGTACACGAGCACGGTCACCAGCGAGGCGACGAACAGCGTGAGCAGGCTCAGCCACTGCAGGTCCCCCGGGGAGAGGCGGTCCCGAACTCCGTCCAGCACCGACATCTTCCCACATAATACAGCGCAGCGCCCCGCTGAAACGTTAAAAAACAAAAACCCACGTCGTTCACTGTGTTATTCCGGTTGAGAAGCGAAAAGACCGAAGCGCCAACCCCCCTACCCACCACACACGAAACCACGAAATGACTTTTCTTAGTTTTTTTAAAAAAGAAGAGAGTCCCACGTACAATCGGGTGGCGGCGGAGGTGAAAACAAAAAAAGAGAGAAAAGTTTCAGCTGTCAATATCCTGCACGTCCCCGCTCGGTTTAGGAAGCTGAAGTTCACAGTACGTTCAAATATTTGGCTCAATGGCGACCTGCATCTAAAAAAAAAAAAAAGAAGAATTATTCCACGCAGACGGGGGCTACCTTGCAAACGCCCTGCACGGGGAGCACCGCTCCGGCCTGCTACACTTCGCCCAGTGACTCACAAACTACATCCCGCAGAAGACCTGACGGGCGCCGCACCACACGGAGACAGGCTGCAACACGACCAACTCCACTGCTGCCGCCCTGCACAGTGTGCACAGTCCCAAACCGGCGACTGCACCACCACCACCACCTCCTGCTGCTGCTGCTGCTGCTACTACTACTCCTCCGACAGGCGGCGAAAACTAAAACCCAAGACGTTGAAACCGGCCCGCAAGCATCGCCTCCGCCTCCTCCTCTTCCTCCTGCCCTCCCCGGCTCCGCCACCCCGCAGGCTCAGCTCAGACTCTCATGAATGGGCGCTCTCGGTGGTGGTGGTGGTGGAGAGGGGGGGATGCAGGGAGCGAGCGAGCACGGGCTGTCATTCCCGGCGCGCACCGCGACTTCTTAAAGGCCGACCGCGCTCGCGTTCCACCGCCGGGCGAGGGGGTGGGTAGGTAGCGCGAGGCGCGTTTCGTGCAAAAAAAAAAACCCATGGAATTAGAATCCGGGCCGCAGGAAAAAAAGAATAAAATATTGTGGCTGACCTGTAACTTTCTGCCTTTCCGTGTCCGTAAATAACAGATGGAGGGAAGAATGAGGGTGAGGGGTGTAGTGGCCAGCGCTCCGAGCCTTAACTTGGAGCGTAGTCTCCTTTCGGCGAGAATGCCACCTACTGAGGGTGGCGAGCAAATAAATACACTGTACTGGAGGCTACTGGAGGCTAGTCTCGCAGCACAGGGAGTTTGAACAGGCTAGTTTCAGCTGAAAAAAACAACAACAACAACAACAACAACAACAACAACAAAAACGTTATCCATTCTCTTCGTTCATCAACAAATCACGCATATAATAATAATAATTAATAACAATGCACATTATTTTATATAGCGCCTTTAAAGCTGGCTTCTCATAGCGCTATTGTGGTGTTGGATGAATATGCATTCATCATTTTCTGTTCTGTACCGTCATTCGTCACGGCACTGATAAAGCTTTGTATTTCACCCCCCAGAAAAGAGACTTAACAAGTGCCGATTTGTTTTCGCGAGGTGTGCATTTTCACACTCGCTGTCCTAGTCACGTTGTCCCGGGACCCACCGTGTGCTCGAATCCCAAACGCTATGTGAGAAAAGGCACGGGACGCCGTTTGACCCTCTCCGCTTTCCGTCCGCGGCCGCTGTTTGTTTACAGGTCCCTGCTCTTGCTCCAGGGAGGCTGCAGCGTTACAATTCCCCAAAACTGGTGGGGTTGGGGGGAGGACACTTCGACGTTTCTGTTAGCGGAACCCGTCGGGTTCTTGCGGATAATCGCATCGCCTGTCGCTCTTTTAACGCGACAGCGGCTTCAAAC